GCGGGGACGGAGCTGCTGCTCCCGGCTGCCACCGTGGGCCAGGGTCCTGCTGGGGGCTGCTGCCAGGGCCAGACTGACCTTTGCACCACCAGGGACCATCCCTGCTCCTGGAATGTTCCTGTGCCTGTGGGGAGCGGGGGGCATTGGGACATTGGGGCAGGATGGTGGTGGTGGCCCTGGGGCGCTGGGTGGAGGCACATCACCAATCCCAAAACACACCTGGATCCAAGAGGATGGGTGCAGAATGGCCTGGATGCCTGTTTGGGCGATGGGGATGGCACAAAGGCACATCCCACCCTGGAATGGGATGTCACTCCAACCATCCACCATGTCCCACATGGAGCCCCTCACCAGTGTCTCCTCCTGCCCGGCTGCCCCTGGGGCTGTGCCAGCATTGCCCTTGGGAAAGGGGCACGTGTTGGTTCCATTCCCAGGTCTGGGAATGAAACAAAGAGAAAACCTCGGCCCTCCATTGCATTTGGGATGGGTTGGTGACATGCTGGGAGGAAGAGGGGAGAAACCCCAGTGACAGGAGTCCTGTTGCAGCACCCTGGCCCTGCTGGCTGGGGAAACTGAGGCTCAGCGAGCCGGGGGGGTCGTGGTGCCTTGGGAAAGGTTGTGCCATGAGTCAGCAGAGTGCTGGGAATGGGACCCAGCACCCCTGGGCACTGGCACTGGCACCTTCCAGCCTGGTGACGTGCCAGCGCCCGCCCCGAGACCCCCACATGCATCCTCCTTCGGCTCCTTCCACCTCCCTTTGAGGCTTTCTCAGGGAATTTATGGCTGCTGGCTGCAGGGGGGGTTATTTTTAGATGCTATAAAAAGCAGCCAGAGTTGCTTTCGCTCCCTTCCCGCTTGGCGCCTCGGGATTATTCACGCTCGGTGGAGCAGCACCTGCCCATGGGGTTGGCACCGTCTGCCCACTGACCCCACAGCCCTTGCCGGGCTGTCCCCTTGTCTGGTGACCCCGTTTTGGCTGGGGGGTCCCAGTAGCAGGACGGTGTCCCCTGGGGCACCCCGATCCCTGTGCCCCAGGCTGGAGGTGACGCCTCTGGCTCTGCTGGCACTGCCGGCAGCGCCTGAATTTGCTGAGTGTGTCTGAGCTGGTCTAGACAAGGGCTTACGGGGGGGTGGGAGAAGGGGACCCCTGTGACCCCGCTCTGGTGGGCACAGCCACTCGTTCCATTGGCCACTATTGCCAGCTGGTGGGTGAATTCCCAAGGAATCGTGTTCTCCTCCCTCCCCAGGCTGTGCCTGTTGGTGGGACGCCAGGCTGGGGGGATGTCCTGGGATGATCTGGGGAGCCCTGGGGGGGCTCTGCCCTCCCTTCTCACCCCATCCTTTTTGTCACAGATTGATGAGATGCCAGAAGCTGCAGTAAAATCCTCCTCCAATAAGTACCAAGTCTTCTTCTTCGGGACCCACGAAACGTGAGTGGGAGCCGGGGCCCAGGGGGTGCTGACGGGGTGGGCAACCCTGGGGCTTTGGGAGAGCCCCCCCCTCACCGCTTTTACCCCCTGGCACAGGGCATTCCTGGGGCCCAAAGACCTTTTCCCCTACGAGGAGTGCAAGGAGAAGTTCGGGAAACCCAACAAGCGGAAAGGGTTCAGCGAAGGTTTGTGGGAGATCGAGAACAACCCCACGGTCAAAGCCTCCGGCTACCAGGTGGGTCACGAGCTGGAGGGTCCCAGCACCTCCTTCCCCCCCAGTCCCTTTCCTGTGTCCCCTCTGTGAACCCCCGGTGCCTCCCCAGCCCACCCAGAAGAAGAGCTGCCCCGAGGCGGCCGAGCGGGAGCCGGATGGGGACGGGGAGAAGAAGGGCAACGCCGAGGGCAGCAGCGACGAGGAGGGGAAGCTGGTGATCGACGAGCAGTCCAAGGACAAGAACGAGAAAGCTGGGATCAAGAGGAAAGCGGAAGATGCTTTGGAGGTAGCAGGGGGGGACACTCAGGACAACGGGGACCTGGGCGAGGGGGGCTGGGCTGAGCCGAGCTCTCCCCCCACCCAGGACTCCCCCAAACGCCCCAAGGATGCGGAGGGGCAGGAAGGGGAGAAGAAGGTGGACAACGAAGAGGCCCCCAAGGAGGAGCCCAAAGCCAACCCGGGCGAAGGGGAGAAGAACAGCGACGCCGCCGACGTGCCGGACGCCAA